GGAGAGAGAGAGGGAGGGAGGGAGGGAGGGAGGGAGGGAGGAGGGAGGAGGGAGGAGGGGAGGGAGGGAGGGAGGGAGAGGGAGAGGGAGAGGGAGAAAGTGAGAGAGAGACTGACAGAAAGAGAAAGAGAGATAGAGACAGAAAGAGAAAACGAGAGACAGACAGAGAAAGAGAAAAAAGAAGAGAGAAAAGAGAGATAGAGACAGAAAGAGAAAGCGATAGACAGACAGACAGACAGACAGAAAGAGAAAAAGAGACAGACAGGCAGACAGACACAAAGAGAGAGACACAGACGCAAACACACAGACTCGGGATCGCTATCGCCGCCGCCGTCCCGAGGGCCCGTTCGGAAGGCCGTCCCGACTCCCTTTGTCTCGCCCGACCTCAGACCCTTCCCTTCGGCACCAGCGCGACGCCGCCGCTCGGGGAAGTGCCCGCCGCATCGCCAGTGTGCTTGCTTTAAGGGCGTTTTATTTTCCTTCGCGCCGCATGGCCATTACTGCCTCCCTGCTTCGTTAATTGCCCCATGTCGGTTGGAATTTTGGCGAACAAAATACGATTGCGAATACATCGCGTATGCTATGCTACTTCCGCGTATTTCCAACGGAGAAGTCGTTACATTTCATGCATATTAATTATTACATTCACATACTTAATCTATAATAAATTTGTTTTAAACATTAAGCGATATTTTTTGTGAAATACATAACAGATTCACATGTACATATACACACAAGCGCGCACACACACACACATACACACACACACACACACACACACCACACACACACACACACACACACACACACACACACACACACACGCACACGCACACACACACACACACACACGCACACGCACACACACACACACACACACACATACACACACACACACACACACACATACATACACACACACACGCACATACACAAGACTTTATCGGTGCGTGTGACCGTCTACCAATCTTTCCAGAAGCACCCACCACCTCATCCCCCTTCCCCACACCTCACCCTTCCCAACCATCTCATCCTCCTCCCCAACACCTTACTCCCCTACCTCCTCACCCTCTTCAACCCCCCTCCCACCCCCTCACCCCCCTTCCCAATCCCTCACACCCTCCCCACCATCACCACACCCACAATCCTGAATACAATACAACATAATCCTATGTTCAAATGCAAAATCGGATTCTCCACGAATCTTATGGAATCCCATGCAAACAAGAAAAGATAAAAATAGATAAAATGAAAATGATGAAATACTTATAATAAATGATAATATTAATGATGCTGCTGCTGATGATGATGATGATTGATAATGATGATGATTGATGATGATAATGATGAAAAAAATTATGCTAATGATAAAAACAATAGAAAGTTATGTTAATAATGAAAAAAACAATAACAATATAAGAATAATGATGACAACAACAACAACAACGGTAATGTGAAAAACAATAACAATGATGACAATGATAATTGTCATAATAATGATACTGATAACAAGAAAAACACATATCACTATGAATATATAACATACCTATCACTATCATAACAATTCATTACCATTGCATTAATAATAATGTGATATATAACAATTATGATAAAAAAGAAAATAATAATGAGGAGGAGGAGAATCAAAATATTAACCATGATTATGATAATAATATAAATAATGATGTAAATGATAATGATGCCCATAATGCTAATGCTAATGAAAGTGATAACAGTTACATAATATTCCTAAAACCAGTCTGCAAAATGCCTCAGTTCATTAACATTTAATCACAATTGTCAAAAAAGTGTTAAGTACAGTATATAATACAAAATATCCCATGAATACTGAAAGTTATACAGTACACGCAAATATTATTTTTATGGTTAATGCATTGTACTAATGAATATTGTCTAAATATTCTCTGGAATTCTTGACCATTCCCTCTTATACTTTGATGTAATGCCATATATTAGACTATTGTGTGTGTGATTTTAATATAGTCTATTAACAATTCATAAACTTCCACTTGAAAAAAGTATATGGGGTTTCATGGAGACCTCATCCTTTTAGGCCAAAAATAAATAATTTTTAAAGTATTATTTGCTGATCTCTTAACAATACAATCTGTATAGCAGAGAGCTACACATGAAAATAGATTTTAACATCCAAATCAGACAAAAATACATCATAGTTATTATGGCTCTGGGACAAAATATAAAGTTATATGTAAAACCCAAAACCATTAATAACAAAAATAGCACCTGCCCTATTAACCAATTAAATGACTGCACAGCGAAGATGATTCCATTTTGCGAACAATGAAAATAAAATCCCACAACGGTAAAATTATTTGTGACATACCTTTATCTATGCTGGGCTGGTAGCTATTATTCTGGAAAAAATATATATATTTTTAAAAATCAATCAATAAAAAAAATCAATGAATCAAACACAAGAAAATCTTAAATCAATTAACCTAAGATCATAACTAAGTCTCTGACTCAATTTTTTCCCCTTTATAATCTTTGAATATAATCTGGAAAATTACTTCTTGTTACCAAATAAATCTTGTTATCATGGAAACGTTTTTAGTATATATGTGTGTGTGTGTGTGTGTGTGTGTGTGTGTGTGTGTGTGTGTGTGTGTGTGTGTGTGTGTGTGTGTGTGTGTGTGTGTGTGTGTGTGTGTGTGTGTGTGTGTGTGTGTGTGAGTGTGAGTGTGAGTGTGAGTGTGAGTGTGAGTGTGAGTGTGAGTGTGAGTTTGTGTGAGTGTGAGTGTGAGTGTGAGCTTGAGCTTGAGCTTGAGCTTGAGCTTGAGCTTGAGTGTGAGTTTGAGTGTGAGTGTGAGTGTGAGTGTGAGTTTGAGTGTGAGTTTGAGTGTGAGCGTGCATGTGCACATGGTGTTTACAGTGCTTAACTGGTAAATCACATCATTTATTTGATGGTTTCCGTCTAACTTTTTAACTAACTCAAACCCAGAACTTTTCAAAAGTTATAAGTGAAATGATGATTTATTTGCTATAAATATAAGAATGCAGTCAAAATTTAAAAATAATTATATCATTAATTAAATAATTATATCATTAGTTACCTTTATCTCCTTAATCATGCATGAATGGAAATTTACTATTTTGCTAATAATTGCTAATTACAGTATCAACAACATATTCAAGATTATAATTACCGAACATAGAGTTAGTCATTATAACTTTATGTTTCAATATTGATTACTAATATTACTGCTCTGCTATGATGTAAAGTATATCGGAATGTTCTAGTTGAATTTTTCAGCTCATGAATAGCATCTGTATATGAAAATATAAAATATATTATCCTAAATCTATATTTTAAGCATAAAAGGAAACTGAATTTGACATGCTACACTCTTATTTGAGATGCCATGTAATGAATTGTATGACATTTACACATATTTTGTTGAAAATTGGAAAATGTAGAAATTGGACATGGCATTTATGAAACAATAATTAAATTCTTATAACCAATGAGGTTGAACTCTTTATCAGGTATTTAACATTTCTTATATCCGATACACTTTCCTCTTCACTAAAGGATAACAAACTTCTGCTACATATATTCCAATGAGATAGAACCTGGACTGGTTCCTTGTTTGACAATATATTTCTAAGGTCTACTCCACTGTCACGTTAAAATATACATGGTAAAGGTTTATATATTGACCTCTGCCGAATGTTCAGTCTCAGGTGCTCTCTCTCTGTTTTCTGTATCTTTGGAAGGTACTGTTCTTGTTAAATAGCATAAAGATGATGAATACAGAAAGTAAAATAAATAAAAATAAATGATTATCATTACCTTCCGTTCATTTTATTTGAATAACAATAACAAGAAATGAAAAATCAAAGCAAGGATAAATCGTCGTGGTATTTAATTTTAATTCATTTTGCAAAAGCATGAAGTAACAGTATACAATGATATTGCATATAATAGCTAAAAATACCGTGTTCCTTCAGACAAAGATCTAAAATCTTACCCGTACCATCGATATATAAATAAGAGGACACATAAAAGAATTTACTCTAATTCTTGCACTCTCTTTCATAATCAAAATCATGAAATCTGTCTCCTGTCAGAATTTAAATTAAATAAAGCCATAAAAATTCACCCACAGCAGTTCTTTCCTTTACATTCATTCATTCTCCTTCTTTTATTACTATTGTCAACACCTCTCTATTTATTACCAGATCCTATTTCTCTAACTACTACATTACCTCTTCTGCTACCATAGCCCCTATACTCTTCCCCTCCCTAACTCTTCTCCATGTAAAAACCAACCCAAATTATATAAACCCACAGAAATATACTTACATCAGAGCTTCCAGTTCCTTGAAATCAACATCAAAACAATGCAATTTTGTCTCCATTCACCAATCAGCTGATCCAGAGCCTTAGGTTTTCCTCTCGCTCATCTCCCTCCTCACCTCCTAAATAACCCGAAGGAGGAGTTATTAACCGTTTATAGCACGCAGATCGAGGGCGGTATGTCTCACAATAGCTCAAAGTGTCACCGGCAATATCTGTCGTGGAATATTTCTGCGAGGAATATTAGGAAAAAATATTTGACTCTTGCGCGCTCGTTTCTGTGACGTCACATGTAAACAATGATGGTGGCTATGAAACGCCGCGAGGACAAACTGTAGATTTGTGTTATTTTCTGGTTTTCTATTGCTGTTTGGCGTTATTTTTGTGTTCGTATATTCGTAACGGTGTAATATGAGTACACCGTATTCGTTACACATGCGAAATATGATATCTATGAGGAAATTACATAAAAGGGTGAAGAGAGCGAGGACAAAATGAAATTTCATTATTACTATTACATCATCTTTAGCGATACAACATGTTATCAAACGGTAATATTCTAAATAGCAAGTCTTTATGATTACGCTATTTTTCCATCAATCAGTTTAAATAAGAAATAACCGAAATGTATATATAAAAAATACGTATTCAGCGGGAATCTTCAGTCGCAACAGCAAAGGAATTTCAAAATCTCGCTTTTCACATAATTTTGCCAACTTTTAGGGTATCTACAATGCCACACTTCAAAATCAAGGTATATTATAACGATCTGTAACAGCTGAAGAGTGTTGATAAAGAAATAGTAGTAACATTTCGATATACATTACGAGAAGTGTAATTGTTTTTGTTTTTATTATGGTCTTTGTTTAATTAATATTCATTGCTATTTCATTTTGTTTTTGTTGATCTTGGTTTGTTAAGTAATAGTGTTGCTCTGAGTAATGTATTGTGGAGAGATATGGATATTATATTTGATTTATACGGTAGTTATATCCTTTGATAAATCCAAAGATATAAATATTTGTAGATATCAGTAGATATACTTACGTCTCTATTATCCTCACAAACTGCTCTTCTATTTTTTCTTCTTCTTTTCCGCCTTGGAAATACAAGATGATAAACCAAATACCGAAAGCTTTCCTCTACAACAGTGCTTCGTATGTGAAGTGATGTTTTATGTTACCGTATTGTTTGTTGTTGTTTTAACCACGTGGTTTTGGATGCAACATAACAGCTGTTTTTTGTATTTTAAACTTTGATTTCTTGTATTTTTGTGATATGTTATTTTACTTTCAGAAAGTTTGTTCCTGTTCAGCGTTAGTAAAAGTACTTGTTTTCAATATACGTAGAGGGATTTTCTGATTTTTTATTATAATGTGTAAATAATCAGGATCATATTTGGTTTGAATTAAAAAATACCGCGACTCTCATTTGCATATGCGCACTGTTGTAATAACCGTTGATATGATATTTTGAATTTGATAATTTGAAGATATATGCGAGTACCTCTGTTAATCTACATTTATACCTTAGGCAATAATGATTATAATAACGATGATGATTAACAAGTTGTTATAAGTAGATTCCCTGTAGATTCCGATACTGTTGTCGCATTTATTTCAATAAATCTGGATTGGATTCCCGGGGGATTCCAATACAATAAATCTAAATTGTGTTTTTTTTTTCTACCATTGTAATATGTATGACGTCATGCCATTTTCCTCCAGTTAGAAGACGCCGTACGGGCTGTCAGTCAAGCCATCGCGACGGTGCTAAAATACTCCTCAAATGCGACTTTCATCAGCACTTGCCTCAGCCGCCTCCAGGTTAGATCTTTTGATGTGAATGCGCGGCCATTTTTGAAGTGAGTGCGCGTTAAGTGTGCGTGGATATGATGGAATGTGTGGTGTGTTTTTTCCTTCTTTCTAAGTATATGTGGATGAGTATGTATTGTTTGAAATGAATGAGCGTGCATTTTTTTAAAGTGAGTAGACATGCATTAAGAATGTGAGTGTATGTATGTGCAATAAGAATGTGAGCGTATGTAGGTGTGCATTAAGAATGTGAGTGTATGTATGTGCAATAAGAATGTGAGCGTATGTAGGTGTGCGTGGATCTTTCCATGTAAGTGCGGGTTAGCGTGGATCTTTTGAAGGGAATGTTGAACTAAGTGTGCGTACATCCCATGATGTGTGTGGTTTTGATGTGGGTCTGCGTAGGTATATGTGCGTATTTCTAAACGGCCATGTGTACAAAAGCTTTCTTTTTATTTTCGTAAACGTTTGAATTGTGCATATTAAATCAACAAGCTCTGTTATGCGACAGGAGATTGACACTTGTTTATAATTATTTCAGTAGACTTCAGCCTAACATTTCCTAAAAAAAAAAATTCTAAACAGAGACAGAGGTTTTGGTTACAGGTTCATTTGCACCATTTATTTTCGTTCATGGTTGGGTGTCTTTTCTTTTATTGTTCTTCATGGTATAGGTTCCTTTTATGGCTATAAGATACAAGCATGTAAATTGTGTGTGCATGATCACATGTACAAAGGCGTACACGAGGCCACTTTTATGTGTATATGTAGAGTTGTTTATTTATAAATCTGTGTATGTTCATGTATGTGTTTGAGGACATACATGGTATTGTGTTACCGTGTATCTTTTTTGCCATGTGTCTTAAAGAGTGGGCTATTTTATATACACATATTGCCAAACACTGTTATTTTAATTCTTGTTTAAACGGTAATGTAGGCAACCAGAGTATATAACCGCTGTAGGACATTGCATTAATGATTTCAATTTAGTAGGATCTATAAATTTCTCCCTATTTACTGATGAAATGATCCGATTTGCGGAGTGAACGGTGCCCCGGCGGCGGGTCAGTCGCCGACCACACTTTTCCCCAGTTTCCCCTGTTGACCATTTTCTTCCTCCGCGGCCAGGCGAGCAGCCCGGCCGAGGCAGAGCACCGCGTGGCGCTGCACCTCTGGTCGATCCTGCACAGGCACCAGGGCGCCTCCATCCCCCTGGAGATCGCGCACGAGCTCACCATGGTGCCCTTGTGCCAGGACCAGCTTTCGGTGAGGTTATTCACGTGCCGAGACGACGACGCCGCCACCGAGGAACGCCAAGGATCCGGCCAGGGAAACGACTCGCCAGCTGATCTGTTCATGGATGATGGGAGGGACGATCTCCTTTTCAAGCTGGCCACGTCTGACCTGCGGATGCACTCTGCAGGAGGAACGACGGCTGCCCACGTCGCTCCCCAATCACAGGCCAGCCCGGGCGCGTCTGCTCTGAATGCACAGGATGCACACACTCCAGTTTCCCCGCCACTCCTTCAGAGTCACAGACCGAGAGGCAATGGAGAGCAGAGTCTATTGTCGGACGACGTGCTTATCGTTGAGCAAGCAGATAAGGAAGGAGCAGCTGGGCCGCCATCGCCCGACGAGGACAAAGAGGAGATCCTTCGAGGTGGAATCGCGCATGACAGCCAGGATCTTCTGCAGGACGTGTCAGCGCTGGGGAGCAGCTGGGGCAGCCTCTCGGCGCGCGTCCTGTGTGACCCGACGCCCAGCGAGCCTTCTCTGCAATTTTCTCGTCTGGATTGTCTTGAAGAAAGTCAGCTGATGGCCGACTTTTCCCCCGAAGAAGAGGAAGACTTTACTGCAGCCGATGGATGTGATCTGGAACCATATTGCCAGAGTGATTCCAAAGAGCGTATTGATCAAGCTCTCTTCTTGCTCTCGCAAACGCCGACGCCCTCAGCGCAGGAGGAGGCCTACGCTAATACCAAGCGGCTGATGGAGAGAGCCCTGGCCGACCTCTCGGAATGCATGGCCGAGGACGACCCTGCAGCCCGGAAGAATCCTTGGTGGTGTCCCCTGCCGAGCCAACAAGTGGAACCCCAACCCCCCCTGCCAGACATGGGGAACTCCAGTATTTCTTTAAACACCACCAAAGAAAGCGAATCCGTGTCAATTTTGAGAGATCTGGACAAGACAAAACCCTCTGGATGTTATAGGCATTCATGAATCCGACTTCGAGGATAATGATCACGACAGCAACCGCAACTTTGATGAATTTAATGAGACGGAGACTAATTTCCATAGTGAGAATGGACAGGAAATGAATCCTGGCGGTATTCTATCTGCTAGAAATGAAACCTACGATGACGACTATGAATGGGACGAAGCGGTGTGCTCTGACATACGGAGAGCGCCGCTGGGATCCCATGCTGCCGACACCTACGGAAAATCTGGCGATAACCAGGTCGCTGCCCTGCCTTCCGCTTCCGTCGCCACCATCGAGAATAATAAAGTGGTTCCGGCGATAAAACACACGCATACGAACTTTTTAGACGAAGCCTCCCTTGATGGACGCCCCGGCAAACGCGACTCCCGGTTCGAAAAAAGTGCGTTTTCCACGGGGATGCCAGACTTGAGTAACGAAGACAACGCCCTGGAGTGGCAAGAGGGCGGAACCGCTTCGTCTGGGGCGTCTCCACGTCAGCTGTTGGAGAGCCAGGTATCCGAGGAGGAGGACTCCGAGTCTCTCTTGAAGGGGGTCGTCTTTGACTCTATTACAGGCCTCCCTATAGAGCGGCTGCCTTCACAAGGCCCTAATTAACGCTGTTATGGCGCTGATCGGCTCGAGTGAAATGTGGCGTATTGATGCTGTTTCGTGAATTACCTGTAAATTTACATATTAGAGAAGCTATCTTTGTCCTACAGGATTTGCGGAAGCGTAGCCAGACGCGCAAAAATCCAGTATTGAGATGCCTTTGATGTGGTAATAAAGTGTGTTATAAGATATATAAGTTGTTTTTTCTCCTTTCTTCGATTTAACAGGAATAGGATTAGAGACAAGGAAATGTTGGACTCGCCGATGACTTTCTCACGCAAAATTAACATCAGTAACATTTCGATTATTGTAATCTACATTTTGTTCAGCTATATGAAATGTATGCCACGGCTTATGACCCGCATCCACATAAAACTGATCTGTCCCGCGATAATTGATGGTGTACTTGCAATCCGGGATTTGTTGCACAGGAGGGCCGGGGGAGCTTTGTAATGACCGAGTACTGCTAATTAAATCCCCTCGTTCATACCTGGATTTATGGCGTTCGTGCTTGAGACATATTCCAGGCCTCGTCGTGCCGAAAGCCCATCCTTTCACCCATGTCGTGTAGCGGAGAGAGTGTGTCAGCTCGCCCCGACGCGCCGTTCGCCGTGTTATTAAGAGATTGCCCGCGTGCAGATGAGAGAGGACGGGGAAATCTTTACAAATTGGCGAAATCCGTCGGACGGGCTTCCATTCGCACCCGGATGTTGGTACCTTCATAAATCGTTCTCCGGGGCTGACGTAAATGAGGGAGAGAGACAGGTCTTGCCTCGGACATCCTTGCTAAACCCGGATCAGAAGTCACCGCAAATACTGCCCCACGACGATAATTGTAGCTGTGTTATCCGCTGTCACATAATACCCAAAGAAGTTCTTTTTCTTTCTTTGTATTAGTGTAATTTCCATTATGTATTACTGGTGACATATGAATACTAAGAAGAGCTGTGTGTCAGATGTCTTCTATCCTCCTTTTCCTCTTCTTTTCTTCTGTTCCTGATTATTATTCCTGTTTTCAAGGGTCTGGTGCCGTGTACTTTGGAAGCAATTTAAGTAAGACAAATTATTTCGCCTGATATAAAAAGAGGAATGAGAAATAGCTTATAATGAGGTTTTATTATCGTGGCTATATAAATAAACCAGTTTGATTTACAGTCTCCCTTTCTATTCTGGTATATTTTCATCACTGTTTAATTATTTGATATAAAACACGCAGGTCAATAAGAGTGAGTAGTAAAGGTATAATAAGGTATTGTTAGAGAGAAAATTTTCACTGGAATCTACTCATTCTAATAATAATTCTTGTGAACCATTCTCACCCATTCGAGGATATAACAAGAAGTGTGTTATGTGTCCTTCTAGATCTACTTGTTTCGAGTCTGTCTGCAGAGCTGGTGTGTATATTTGTATAACAAGGCATAAAGAAATACCTGATATCTGAATAAAGGGACATTATACACATGCGATTCTGATTTTGTTTCAAATGTAGGAAAATATCGCCGCGTGGAATATATATATATATATATATATATATATATATATATATATATATATATATATATTATATATATTATATATATATATATATATATATATATGCTGTGTGTGTGTGTGTGTGTGTGTGTGTGTGTGTGTGTGTGTGTGTGTGTGTGTGTGTGTGTGTGTGTGTGTGTGTGTGTGTGTGCATGTGTGTGTGTGTGTGTGTGTGTGTGTGTGTGTGTGTGTGTGTGTGTGTGTGTGTACACGTACATACATACATACATATATGTGTGTGTGTGTTTATGTATAATTATGCATTTGTAATTATACGTATACACACATATATAGGCGCAATTTTGACGGCAAGATATTTAAAGATTTCTTGAAAATTGAAAATATCTGTGCCGACCAGAAGCATTAACTTGAGTATATTGATAGTTTTATTATTCTCTAGAAGGTAAATACTAACTACTTATAACTGTATTATGGCCATCCTATTAATGTTCAAAGAGCATTTTTATTTGCCTTTGTTATTTTCATTTTAAACTCGCAGTTTGAAAGACATATTTTTGCTCATAATACTAGATATCATTATTGTAAAATGCTGTCCTAAAATGCGTAGACAAATGTTTTATCTAGTTATTCATAACCTTTTGTGCTACATAGTTATTCATTTTCTTATTTTTTATTTTTTTATTTTTATTATTTTTTTTCCCCTGTATGTTCTTCACTTGATGCAAGATAAAGGCGGGGGAAAGATTGTCCAAATTCACTATCACTACGAACAGCGTCCGTTGTCCTGCACGATTACTCCTGTCAGCCACTGCGAAGGGGAATGAGTCATAACCTATTGCTGTGGTTTGTTTACAGGGTTAGCAAGCTGGATGTTGGGACCTTTTTTGTCGCGTTTTGCAAGACAAAGCGACCCATAGATTGCTTGCGTTTCTTATAGAAAATGCTCCTTGTATGTGTGTGTGTGAGTGTGTATACATGTATATATATATATATACATATATATATATGTATATATATATATATATATATATATATATATTATATATATATATATATATATATATAGTACACACACATATGCACACACACAGAGGTATGTATATATATATATGTATATATATATATATATATATATATATATATATATATACATATATATATATATATATATATATATATATATGTATGTATGTAGTATATATATATATAATATATATATATATATATATATATATGTAATATATATAATATATATATATATATAATATATATATATATATATATATATATATATATATATATATATATATATATATTATATATATATATATATATATATACACACATATATACAAGTTCTATATAGTACTTGAAGAGTTTGTACATATACACATACGCGTATATATATATTATATATATAATATATATATATATATATATAATATATAATATATATATATATATATACTGTATGTAAATATATAGATAATTAAATAGATAAATACATATGTTCATGGATGTATATGTATTTACATATGCATACATATTGTTTTACACACCCAAACAAAACCAAGTATGCTCGCACTTAAACATGTCACCATATACGCACCCTCTCATTTAAACAGTCATAAACCTACGAACATGTTATACACACACACATACAAGTACAAACAAATCACTATCCAAAAATATCACCCAAACACACACACACACACGTATACACGCACGAACGCACACACATTACACATACACACACCCAAACATATACAAACGGACACACACGCACCATCACGTCATAAATGATGGAGGACACAAGTTCCGTGTAATTGATTCCCTGTGCTTCATCTTCCTCGTCATTACCTCATTCTCGAAGAGGGGGGGTGGGGGAAGGAAGGGGGAGATGGGGTGGAGAGGAGGAGGGGCGGAGGGGTGGGTGGGAGAGAGGGGGAGAGGGGTAGGGAGTGGAGCGGAGGGGGAGGGAGGGGAAGAGGAGGAGAAGGGGGGCGACAAGGGGGAAGGAGGGGGGTCGGGTGAGGAGAGGAGTGGGTGGGAGAGGAGGAGGAGGTGAGCGGAGGGGGGGGAGGGGTAGGGAGTGAGGAGGGGGGGATAAGGGAGTCGGGTGAGGAGAGGAGAAGAGGAGCGGAGTGGAGGGAGGAGGGGAGCTCAGGGGGGTGTCGGATGTGGATGGGACAGGAGGGGAGGGGGAGAGAGGGATCCCAGGGGGGGTGGGGAGAGGACGGGGGAGGGAGGAGTTGAATTATTCCTGTCAGCGATGCTCGTAGGCTGGGAAATTTAGGGCGGCATCCTGATATGAAGGATGGAGGATCACTCCCGCGTGGAAAAAGGCAGAGTGGGCCGGCGCTCCGTCTCGCGAGCTCTCTCCTCCGCGCGTCGCTGGCAGTGATATTGTCCGTTATTTTCGACGGTTAATGCAACTTTATTTCCGTAACTAACGTTCGGTTTATATATCGATGCTGATGTTATCGCTGTTATTGCTGCCGCTGCTGTTATTCCTGCTTCCAGCGTTTGCCGCGATCATCGATGTATTAACCACATTGACTACTTTATTACAGGGATAATTATTATGGAACTACGTACTTCCTCCTGTTATTACGCGAATGAAACCTCCATTATCTGTCGTTACCGCCGCCACCAACTGCGCTGCCCCGTATTAGAATGCCACCAGCGGCCGCAGTTCCCGCCACCGCAGACCATAACTGCGCCGCCAAGCCTTTGCCATACAACAACATCAATCACCATACAGCGCCGCCACCGCAACTGCCGCCGGACTCACACCGACGGCGCTCGCGTGAGGCCGGCGGCGCCCCTGCACGCACTCGCGCCCTCGCACCTCCAGCAAGAGCCGCTAAGTGCCGTTGCCATTGTCGCTCGCGCTCGGAGGGGCCGGCGGGCTGGC